GAAAATCCGAGTGGAATTTTTGAACGCATTGTCACCGGTGATGAAACGTGGATTCATCACTATGATCCTGAGAGTAAGCAAGACTCCATGCAGTGGCATAAAAAAGGAACAGACCCACCGAAGAAGTTTAAAGTCTGCCCATCCTCCGGAAAACTCATGGCCACAGTGTTTTGGGATTTTAAGGGAATTTTACTGATCGAATACACAAAAATGGGTCAAAGTATTACTGCCGCAGCTTACGCAAACAGCCTACGTAATTTAAAGGACGCTATAAAGGAAAAAAGACCTGGAAAATTGACCGCTGGTGTCTTGCTTCTTCACGACAACGCGCCGGTTCACACAGGGCGCGTTGCCAAGGCTGCTGTGAGGGATTGTGGATTTGAAGAAATCACTCATCCACCCTACAGCCCTGACCTGGCCCCCAGTGATTACTTTTTGTTTCCAAACCTAAAGAAAGATCTTCGGGGCAAGCATTTTTCCGACGATGAAGAGTTGAAGGAGGCAATTAATGAACATTTTTCAGGCAAAGAGGAAAAATATTTTTTCGAGGGCATCGAAAAGTTATTTGCCCGATCAAATAAGTGTATTGAGGCTATGGGAGACTATATTGAAAAATAAATTTTATTTAGAATTTTTTGCCTATTATTTCATACCTATACCGAGAATACATTGAACGCCCCTCGTAGGTCGTTGACTTTGATGAAGCGGTACATTTTCTCTATGTCAGCCATAAACGCAATTTTATGTATTCGCCATCGTAATAGTATTATTACTAAATCTTGTTGAGTTCTGGGACCAGTTAACATGTTGTCATTTAAGCTTATTTTCGTACTAGACTTGGTTGATGCATCGAATACTGTTCTTAGTTTTGTAGTTAGTGACTCTTCTTTTATTACTGGCTGATGAGGAATATAGTATTTGCCTTGGTAATAGTCGGATTTGTGTACTTTCCTCATATGACCCATTTCTAGATATTCATCTAAAAATTCTTGGTATTTTTGTTGCAACTTAGTATCCATAGCAAACCTTCGTTCTAACTGCATCAATCTTGCTACAGCTATTTGTCGAGTATTTCCATATTCCACATTAGGATCTTTGAACGGTAATCTTACTGTGTATGTTCTGTCCTCGTTACGTACTGTAGTTTCTTTGTAGTAGTTTTCGCATAATAGGTCGTTTTTGGATAGTTGGTGGGTCTGCGGGACCTCCTCTAATTCCCAAAACTTGTTTATCTTTTGGATGTCGTCAGTCCGTGTTATCATACTAAGGACTTTTATTTGGTTACTGGTGTTACTACAAATTCCAGATAAAATCCATCCCAATTCAGTGTCTTGAGCGATTATTCCGTTTTGAATTTTGTGTAATCCATTTAGTAGTAATTT